TATTCGGCCTGATGTTGAATATACTATTCGTTGCAACACTAATGATAATTTATCAAGGCTCTGTACAGTGCGACAAGATGCAATTATGAGATGCATGTTCTTTGCACGGGAGACTTGAGAGAGAGTGTGTGTGCGCGCAAATGACTTTGTTTACTTCTTATCGAAACCCCCGCGTTTCTTTATGCAGCTCGAGCTCGAGAAGCGCTTTACAGCGAATACACTGAAACTGGTTTCTAATTGGCCAACACTGCTCGTGACGTAATTTTGCTACACACTCGCTGCATAAAGAAACGCGGGGAACACGACATGGCACCTATGCATGCAGTAGAAATTATTATAATGTATTAGTTGTACAATGAATAAAATGTTTTTTATTTACGATGTTTTTTTCCTTCAATTTATTAGTGTTCTCCTTTCCATTGTAAAAAAGTTGGTCATCTTACTAATAATGCCTAATACAGTACAAACCAATTGCACTTTGTTATGAAATATAGAAATAATGCTAAAGAAAAATTCGACGTATGCACGTTTATCATACGTAAAACGTGGAAATCGACGACAACGATCCCTCGCCCTCAAGTGGTCAACAAAGAAATTAAACATAACCTTTATTAATATTTACTTTTGGAAATCTCTTTCAGTTACTATTTAGTAATAGTTTTGGCTTAATTTCAAATTTTCTTTCAGTCATTATTCTTTGTTTAATCAAGTACTCTGCTCAGTACTGATTGTTTATAAAAATGTATATCCAAAATTTTTAATACTTTATTTTATTTATTGTAAATTTCATATGCGTAATGACATCTCCTACATTTTTGGCTTCGCCTAGATTTCGTGCAAATTTCACAGAATTTAGAATATTATGAATTTAAAAACAAATTTTATTTTTTTGCCGTTTTACCGGAGGACGTCAAAGATAAAATGTTGGCAAAAGTACAGTATAGTACTTTTGAATCTTTTGATTCGTCATTAGGGTAATTGTGGGAAAAAAACATTAAAAGGATGTGATACGATGACAAGTTTTTTGAATAACGCAAACGCAATGTACAGAAACTCCAATCTACAAAGATTAGAGTTTCTGTACATTGTGCACCCGAGAATCCTCGAGTTTAACTCCGAGAAGTCCTTTGTGTAGAAAAGGGAATAACATCTTCGATCCTTCTCTTTCTTCGGGTCCAGAATAAGATAAGTTTTTCTTCAAAGTTCTTCAAAAACGATGCTCTGTTTATGTCGTATAATCAAAGTTTTTTTTAAATTCTTCAAAAAGAACATGCGTTTGGAACTCGTAATTAAGTTCGTTGTGGATTCATACTTTCATAGGAAAATCTGGACCTGAAGAAAGAGAAGAATTGAAAACGTTAGTCCGTTTTCTACATATGGGACTTATACATCCGAGAACCCATATTTAACTCCAATAAGTTTTGTGAAATTAACATTCTGAAATTTTCTCCATTGATGAACAAAAAGGTTGGCAAGTGCTTGGGGCTTTGTGAACGTTTATATTTTATTGCCTTAAAATAATTCATTTTGCTGGTTTACTGAAAAAATAAACCAACGACTGGCATAGCGCCCACATAAAAAACCGAAAAAAAGGATCTAAAATTTTTAAAGTTGGAAAAGCGGCATAATTTGAATATAAAATAGATATTACGTAGCCGGCCAGATGGCCAAGAGGTTTAGGAGTTGGCCTATGGCTCTGGGTGGTTGAAAAACCACAGAATTTCTTGGAATGGTCTGTTCTGGATGCACAGGCCCCATCCCTTGTCATCTAGCCATTCCGTTGTGGACAGGGTTGTCAGATTTCAAATTAGTATCTAATAAAAAAACAAAAACATAATTGAGATAAACTTTTGCGAAAACTCCGCTTTTAATATTATTGTTATATAAAAAGATTTAATTTGGAGACTCCTGTTTCGGATACGGGCCAAATGGGGGAGCTCCTCGAATGCGTTATCTCGCAGCGCTTTCGCAACCCTTGCGCGCAAGTAGTGGCAATAATTGGGTGCCGCGTACACCCAATTGATGCCAGCGCTCAATAGTTTTTAACCGGGAAATAGCGCCATAAACTTCTTAACATTTCAAATTTCAACTCCTAACCGTTTGAACTGTTTGACATTATTATTATTATGAACCCATCTCGATTGTTAATGCGAATAACGAGTAAAATATTACGTGACCCCTTATATGTCTCTACCCTGTCGACTTTTATTTAAAGAACCAAAATTTAATAGAATTAATGCCCTTTATATACATATGCTACCGTGCCAAATTTCGTTTTTTAAAATGGCGGAAGAACACGATACGAGTTTACCAGAAAAAAAAAACGATTTGTATAATTAATTAATTTAATATACGCTTTTTACGTAAATTTGACGTCATAATTCACTCTATCTCAATGTAAAATTTCGAAATGAAAACGAAATTCCAAAATGTTAAAATGTTTTCCATCCCTGAAAAATTTTATATTTTTATTTATTCTTTTTTTTTAGCGGTGATTATTAATGTAAGTAATTCGAGAATTTAAAATTCTCTTAACTTCCTGACACTTTAATCAGTGGAGAATTTACTTTGGTTTTTTTTTTTTACTAAATTACATTATTTCACTTTCTAAATGAAATCCTAATTCTTAAGTNTGGTAGTAAATATTTTATTGCAGCTTCGCTGACATGATGATAATGATAATTGTACAATTAACACAAATTGTGTTAATTGTACAATTTTTGTTTCTTGCGTAAGAATTTCATTTAGGTATTATCGCAAATGCATTTTTTAATGAAATTTCAAGAATATTTTTAGTTATAAATAAACGAATTTCTGCATTCGACATCGTGTTGTAAATTGCCGAATTTTTTATGATTATTATTTTTTTTTATTGCTTCATCTCGTGCATTTAAATTTTAAATCGACCGATTTTAGATTGCCGCGCGTACCCCTTTATGAAATTTCGCGTACTCCTGGGGGTACGCGTACCACTAATTGGGAACCACTGGTTTATACGGATTATTCCCAAAAAATTATACGTATTTTGGAAATGTTAAGTCGAATTAGTCTAGAATCGATTAATTTTATGGAAGAAAACCTTTCAAACAGACGTAGTCCGTAAACTTCACACGTGTCGGGCTGCGATTGGCTCATGTATTTAAGGATTCCTACAACGCGAAATTTGTATAACGAGGAACGTATCTACACATTATAGGGGGGGTCTACTGTATACGTGTCGAAATTCCCCCACTGAAGGGAGATGGACAAGATTAAAGCTTACGATAAAGAACTCTACTTCTATTTATACTATTTTAGATGCGGTTTTTTGCGTTTTAATAGGGTACGTCAACAGAATGTACACTAAGAAGGGATTTTTCGAAAAATTCCCCCCACGGGAGAAGTGTTATACATTTATAATAGATACATTTTGAGCCACAACAACGCGTGGCGGGGTCTGCTAGTATAGTATAATAGTANTAGACCGGGGTCTATCCTCAAAGGTAAAGTGCAAATAAAACTACATTTTTTAATCAATTATTATTCTATTATGGTTATTTATACATTTACAACTACAAAACGCATTTTTCAGTGTTTTCCTTATTAAAGTTTTTTTTTTCAATGTACTACTTAGCTTTAATTTGAGTGTGTTTTTCGTGTTGGAACGGATTATTTGGTTTTACATGTAATTATATGGGGGAAAAATGATTCACCTTACATTTTCATGATACGATCTCAGTTTAGGAACGGATTAATTTCGTATACTGAGGTACTACTGTATAACAGATTAATCTAGTTTTAAGATGAACTTTTCGATTGGATCTACAACACTAATTTCATACAAAAGACAACTTAATTTGATGAATTTGTATATAAATCTATGACTAGTTATATACGTTTATAAGTTAGAATAATTTATATTCACGTGAACGAACGTCTTGCTGCGCTGCAACAGTCGACGAATTAGTGGAAGTTAAATTTGAACAGGCAATTTCCGGATTAATGGGGATCACTACGATATCCTCCTGGCGTGAACGTATCCCGGCAAGTCTGCAGTTATCGAGTGCCTTGGCTTGTATTTTACCTTTAGTCTTCTTCACTCCTTCCACGCACCATCCTATTAAACAACCGGCGTAGACAAGGAGACCTATTATGGCCACAATGGGTCCAGCGTAAGAAAACGATATACCCAGAAGCGACAGGTAAACAGTCCGGTTATTCGTGTTCCTGTTGTGTATACGAATCAAAGCGTATTCTATTTCAAATAATCCGCACATTAAAATACCAAGAAAAATCATGAAGATTGCTTGATTTCCTAAATCTCGACTCGCCAACATGTTCTTTTAAGATATTCTTCTTTTTAAACAGCCGAATTGTTCAAATATGGAAACTTTCCCAGGAAAAATGCTTATAAAAATGGAAGAAACTCCCGATTCCCGTTATGCTTCAAGTTACTTATCGACGTCGTCGTTGACTACAATATTTGTCTTTTATATCTTTAAATATAAATATTTCTGTAGATATACAAAATACAAAACGAATAGATAAAGCATTGACGTAACACGCCATTGTATCAAAGATCGCGCGCTTATGCAAATCATCGCCGATAAATGGTCGATACAATCTCGTTGAGTTAACTATTTATTTTAAGATATTTGCTGTTGTGTTTCGCAGATTATTTTATTTTTTACGCGACGAAACTTTGATCATTTTAGTGTTATCGACTTTAATCCGGTTAATGAGATAAATTGTATTTTATCGAGGTTTTGTCAACGTTTAAAATGTTTATCTGACGTTATCGGGTGTTGCTTATTTTCGAATGATTGTACGTGACTAAATATATAAGTTAACTGTCTTTTACGAAATTAAATTTTATTTATAACGGTAATTTTTAACNTGTTTATCGAGTGTTTCTTATTTTCGAATGATTGTACGTGACTAAATATATATAAGTTATCTGTTTTTTACGAAATTAAATTTTATTTATAACGGTAATTTTTAACGTTTTCTTTTTTTTAATGTTTTAAAATAATTATGTACTCGAGAATATTTTCGAACGAAAGATGGCGCGATGATCAACCGGATACGGATATTCCGGTAGCCGGATGTGACCTATAGCTAGGGGAAGTTTCGCACGTTTTTGATAAGGTAAGTCGTATTTTTATTTAAAGAATGACGACATATTTCGTTATTTACGTAATAGTTTTATTTTAAATCACAAACGAACATATTTGAAACGTTTGGTATTCCTGGTATTAAGGAACGTGTTTCTACGACACAAATTGATGCATTTTGTATTATTATTACACAAGAGGATAACTTATCTTAAAATAAAACTTTCTGAATTTTTTGGGTCCTTTAATTGTATAAATTTCGATAATTAATAGTTCTGCTTTAGCAATATTTTCTAGTCAGAATTATTTCTGTCACCGAATCTCCCCTTAAACACGTGTTGATTGTACTTAAATGTCATGGACGTACGCAATAGTTAAGGTATTTCTACACACACAAGGTTAGTTTATACGGAAACCATAGTTAATAATTGCTAATATTGTGTGATACAGTACAAACCAATTGCACTTTGTTATGAAATATAGAAATAATGCTAAAGAAAAATTCGACGAATGCATGTTTATCATACGTAAAACGTGGAAATCGACGACAACGATCCCTCGCCCTCAAGCGGACGACAAAGAAATTAAACATAACCTTAATTAATTATTTACTTTTGGAAATCTGTTTCAGTTACTATTTAGTAATAGTTTTGGCTTAATTTCAAATTTTCTTTCGGTCATTATTCTTTGTTTAATCAAGTACTCTGCTCAGTACTGGTTGTTTATAAAAATGTATATTCAAATTTTTTAATACTTTATTTATTGTAAATTTTGTATGCATAATGACATCTCCTATGTTTTTGGCTTTGCCTAGATTTCGTGCAAATTTCATAGAATAAAAATTTTTTTTTTAATTCAAAATATTCTATTTTGCTGTTTTACCGGTGGACGTCAAAGTTAAAATGTTGACAAAATTTCAAGTATAATAAAATTACCCTAATGAAGAATCAAAAGGTTCAAAAGTATTAACTTTTGAACCTTTTGATTCTTCATTAGGGTAATTGTGGAGAAAACAGTAAAAGGATGTGATACGATGACAAGTTTTTTGAATAATGCAAACTCCTTGTAGATTGGAGTTTCTGTACATTGTGCATCCGAGAACCCTAGAGTTTAACTCCGATAGTCTGTTTTCTACACACAGGACTTAACGGCTTTGATCCTTCTCTTTCTTCAGATTGTCTTCGGGTCCAGAATAAGATGCGTATATTGTATGCATAGCAGACATTTTTTTAATGGCATTCACCTAACAAAATTTCTTAGGATGTAAAACTTGATTTGATCATAATTACATTTAACCTATCAATCACTATGCTTATGCTGTTTGTTGTATAATTTAAAAAAGTTTTTCAATATTCTAGAAAAATAATTTGCATTGGGATAATTTTTTAATTCTAAATTTTGTTAGATATTCCATAAAAAGAACATGCATTTGGAACTCTTAATTGTTTTTCTTAATGGTTCTTTTTAGGTAAAACTCGAGTTTTGTACATTGTGAAAAATGATTGTTTAATAAATATATACAAACAGAAAATATCAATTTACTTTAACTAGAAGAACTGATGCTCAGTTATTTTATTGTAAAAAAAAATTTAAATAGTTTTTTAATGTGTATTTATGGAACATACAAATGTAAAAATATACGTATAACTTAATTTTGTTTTGGATTCATACTTTTATAAGAAAATCTTGACCCGAAGAAGCTCCAAAGAAAAGGAACAGAACCTGTGTATAGGACTTTACACCCAAGAACTTGTATTTAACTCCAATAAGTTTTTGTGAAATTAACATTCTAAAATTTTCTCCATTGATGATCAGGAAGGTTTGCAAGTGCTTGGGGCTTTGTGAATGTTTATATTTTATTGCCTTAAAATAATTCATTTTGCTGGTTTATTGAAAAAATTAAGGATGGACTGGCATATGGCCCATCTTAAAAACAGACCAAAATTTTTTTTTATTTTTAAATTTGGCATAGTTTGATAGTTTGAATATAAAATAGATATTATGTAGCCGGCCAGATGGCCAAGAGGTCAAGGAAGCCCAAAGGCCTGGTGGTTGAAAAAACCTCAGAATTTCTAGGGGTGGTCTGTTCTGGATCCCTTGCCATCTATCCATTCCATTGTGGACAGGTTGCCAGATTTCAAATTAGGTCTCGCAGGACAAAAATGAAAAAAGTTGGGGCAATTTTTCTTTCGCAATTAATATTTTAATGTTATTTTTTAATTTCTATACTTCATTTTAGTCATTTAAAAATATATCTAATAAAAAAAACAACAAAAAAAATTGAGATAAACTTTTATTTACACTATTTATTCTAAAACTTGTTCAATATTTATCATTTGATTTCACTTCATTAAAAAATGACTAAACCTTGATTTTAAAAAAAATGAAATTCCAAACAATATTTTAAAATATTTTTTAGAATCAACCTATTTCTATCTTTATGCTAAGCATTCAACATTAGACTAAAAATTGCACCAGACTACACTGACATCTTAGGCATTTGCATAAATAGTGCAATCAATGTCTAAAAATCTCGAGTGGCTGGAGGGATTAACTGACATCTAATGCATCCCATGACCATTAGTGGGCAACTCACCCACCAATGTCTGAAATTCATACATATTAAAAAAGAAATACATTTCATAACAGAATCCATCACTTTTAATGGCAGTATTTTATTATTTTACAGTCAAAATCTGTTAATTTTTTTTTACCTGTGGGACATTGAAATGTTTGTGATGCACACGACAAATCACTCTTGTGTGGAATTGTCCTGCACATTGCGGGATGTCTAGCATCCCTGATTGTGGACCTGGCCAAACTCACAATGGCTCCAAAAATAGGCCCTCTTAGTACCTTGGGACAGAGTAAAACAAAACATACAGAATATTATGCATATAAAAAATGGTAATATTTTGTTTGCTGTTAATAATGGTATAATCAATTATTTATGAGCTTATTCAGTTCTGCTTGCAATTCTTTGTTGATTGTTTCCAAATATCTTTATGTTAACATAAACACCAGTTTAATGAAGTCATTCAAACCAGTGTGTGAAAGTTTAGATGTGTTTTCAGTTCATTTATTTATCAGTGTGGCCTGCTAAGGTAAATATACTACTCCAACTAATACTGTAGACATTTGAGATACAGGCAAAAATCAACAAAATTTTTTGTTCTTTGAAATAATGTCCATACATGATTAATATCTGGAAAAATTTAACCATAATCAACTATAAGATGACAGAACGTCAGAACTGTTTGTTGTTGCACTAAGGATAAAATTCTTGCAAGTTGTTAATAAGCTGCACTCTGACAAGATTACAAAAGTTTATGAAAGAAGAGATGGGAAACAATATTAATGAAATAAAATCTAGAAATAAAACATATAGAAAAATTATAAAATAGATTGAACTTGGAATTCCATGCTAAATGAAAGATTGAACGATCTGATCACCATTGCCATCGAAAAGCAAATTATAAAGGAATTGACAAACAAAAATTTCAAGGAATGAGTAATCAATAATTTTGCAAACAAAAATGAGAGAGAGAACTTATTTACAGAAAAATTTGACTGTACCTTGTGATTGTTTTCTGTATTAAATTCTGAATTAATAATTGTGCTTCAAAATACAGTACACCCAATTGTGGTTTTACACAGTAGATATGCTTCCAAAAAATCCATGTAAAAACTGTTAAAGGAGATAATGTCTGTAGGGAAAAATGAAAGATTGATTTTAGACCTTAAAAATCAGTAAAAATATGAGAAATTTATTAATATCACAGGATGCATTTAAACAAATATTTCGGCTTTAATTAATAAATCAGAGGAGAGTCGATTGTAACTTTAATCATTAGCAAAATCTAATACATTTATATTATTCACATAAATTACAAATTTTTTTTTTATTTGAATTTTTCAATTGAACACCAAACCAAACTTTAACTTTTAATATCAAACTACACTAACTATTCCATCAAAAGGAATTAAAGGAATGCAACTATACAAACGAATCATCAAACTTCAAATTAAACGTTTTGACTGCTTTGGTTGTGGGATAAAGTCAGGAGGAAAGATAGATTGTCAGTACACACATTCAAATAAGATTTAGCTGTTTATTACAATTTAAGACTGATACACATGATCAAGTAAATTTTAAATGCAAATAATAATAATTTGTAATATAAAAATTTTAAGAAATGCTTTTTATTCAGATAAATACACTAAAAAGTAAAAAAAAAATTATTCAGCTTTCACAGTTGTCTTGGTATTATGTGACAAAAAATAAAAGTATGGGGATGCCTGTGTTTAGAAATATTCTTAGTTAAAATTCCTACCAATTTTATGGGCACCCCATGCTTTTATTTTTGGTTGTATAATGCCAAGAAAAATGTGAAGCTGAAGAAAATTTATTTTCTACTTTTTAGTTTTATATATGTTATGGACAAAGTGATTAATACGGGCATTATGAATAATGACCAACAAAATCGGGCATTGTAATAAATTTCAATAATTTATCAAATTGACCGGTCATTATGAATAATGCTACAACCTAGTCGGGCAAAGTGATAATAATACGTTGAGGAGTGATCATCCGGCATACGTTAGCCAATCAGAAGTTACATCTTACTTGCTCACGCGTATTGCATTTAGTACCGAACTTTAAATTTATGTGACCAGTAGTTAATCTTTCTTCTTTGATAAAAGTAACGATCATGAAGGAATCATTAAGTGATATGAATAATCGCTTCAACAACCGATTAAACGAGTTAAAAACCAAAAGGGCTGAAGAAGTAGCATATGGTCTTTTAGATATTTTTACAATTTTCAGTGCACCAAGTATTCTACAAAGCGATAATGGCAGAGAATTCGCCAATAATATCATCAAACAAATGTG